TTTCTTGATAATACCAGACCCCTGTACCCCTACTTCTAGATAACGCAACCCCATTCCTATATAACACCAGAACCCCTGTAGATAGTATAAGTATAGAAGTCATCTACTGTCCCTGTGGCTTTCAGCCCAGTACCCCCGTCCGTGTCAGTGCCCCATGATCGGTGTCAGTGCCCCATGATCGGTGTCAGTGCCCCATGATCGGTGTCAGTGCCCCATGTACGGTATGAGTGTCCCATGATCGGTATGAGTGTCCCATGATCGGTGTCAGCGCCCCATGATCGGTGATGTCAGTGCCCCATGATCGGTGTCAGTGCCCCATGTACGGTATGAGTGTCCCATGATCGGTATGAGTGTCCCATGATCGGTGTCAGCGCCCCATGATCGGTGTCAGCGCCCCATGATCGGTGTCAGTGCCCCATGATCGGTGTCTCTCACCTGCTCTCCGGGCGGTGTCGGTGCGGAGTGATGGCTGGGATCGGGACTGGTCGGGGAGGGAGGAGGTGACACCTGAGCTGGTCTCACCGGTTCCAGCACTGGGAGGGATGGAGGAGGGGCTGTGTGCATGAGAGCCATCAGTGATCCAAGCCTGTCATCACCGACCCGGGCACATATCCTGGCTGAGATATCCGACCATCCACCAGCCACTATCCATATCATATGTTATTATATATCATATACTGTACTGACTCATACATTATACTGTTATAGTTATTATTTATTGTAGAGAACTACAATCCCCAGCCATCCCACACTCCTCATATCAGATCTGATATTAATATTATAACTTTCCATGACTTCCTCTGCATTACTTCCATACATCACACTGCTAATGATCTATGATAGAGAACTACAATCCCCAGCCATCCCACACTCCTCATATCAGATCTGATATTAATATTATAACTTTCCATGACTTCCTCTGCATTACTGCCATACATCACACTGTTAATGATCTATGACAGAGAACTACAATCCCCAGCCATCCCACACTCCTCATATCAGCTCTGATATTAATATTATAACTTTCCATGACTTCCTCCGCATTACCTCCATACATCACACTGCTAATGATTTCCTAACTGCAGCACTCCCATCATCCACAATCCACTATTTCTATAAAGCTCTGTCATCAATGATAGATCCAATTTACCATTCCACCCATTAGACTTCTACTGATCTTTATTATACTGCTAATGTTCCTATAAAACTATAAATTCCTCCATCTACAACTCAATGTTCATATAAAATGTCCTTCTAGACAACTTACCAGATAAACCTGCATATATTATAGAGGTAATTATCTCCATGATGCAGGTATTGCTCATATTCCTCTGTATATAACCACACACCCTCCGCCATCTCCATCCCCATCTGCATGGAAATTGCTGTGATTATTGTCAGATTTATTATACATACCTGCATATGTTATAGAGATGATGATCCTCAGACCTGCGACATTCCACAACACTCCTCATCATCTCATTATTCATATCACACATCAATATTATGTACTAGGATTACTCTGCATACATTATACTGCTAATTATATGCTATATAGAACTACAGCCCCCATCCACATCTCACTGAAGTGCTAATATTATAGATACAACGTATTATACACCCTGCATACATTACATTGTCAATGATCTTCTATATATATATACACACAGTAGGAATGCACCGGTATTTCGGTATCGAGTACCGATATTTTTTTTCGGTACTCACCGATACCGAATACGGACTACCGGAAGTCCCATTCAGGAAGCCAGGCGGCGTGTAATGACTCAGTACATGGCTTCCTAATTAGCCGGGAAGTCAGGCAGCGTGTAAAGACTCGCCACCCGGCTTCCCTATTAGCAGGGACAAGAAAGCATGGAGCCGGCTTTCTGGCCAATCAGAAAGTCGGGCGCCCTGTAATGACGTGCTGCCCAGCTTCCTGATACCAGAGTATCGGGCTAGGCATTGGAGTATTTGGGAGAGTACGAGTACTTGCCCAAATACTTGGCATTGGCACCAATACCGATACTAGTATTGGTAACTGTGCATCCCTAATATACAGTAACAATATAACATCCCATCATCCACAACTCGCACAATAAACTCTCTGTTATCCGGTGTTCAACTAACCAGAACTCTCATCTAACCAGGAGAAAAAATATCCCTGTGTACTCACTGTTCTGCTGATCTGCGGCATGTATTATCCTGGAAATGATTGTGTGTCTATTTGTTTTTAACTTGTTTTTGATGACTGCATTTCAATATTAATATGAAGTCAATACAGAGATTATGTTATGGTATGGTATAGTACGGGGTATGGCATTGGTTAGATCTATTTTTAATAGTAACTCTGAAGCAACCAGAAACTACATTGATCTGGAATCTACCAATCCCTGTGAGTGCCGGATATTGGGGAGTTTACTGTATTTAGAAAGTGTTAACATTATAGATACAACTTATGATACCACCAGCATACATTACATTGCCTGTTTATTATCTTCTACATAATTATATAACATCCCAACTCACTAAAGTTCTAATATTGTAAACGAATCTTACGATCTCCTACCTGCAGACATTATACTTCTAATTATATAACTACAACATCCCGCCATCCACATCTCAATGTATAGAAAGCGCTAATATTATAGATACAATGTACTATACCACCTGCAGAAATGACACTGATAATATACAAGCAACCAGGGCCGCCAGGCTAAGAACCCTAAGGCCCCATTCACACTTCGCAATTTGCAAATCGCACGTTTGTCGCGCAATTTGCATTTTGCGCAATATTGCGCAATTTGTTGCGTGATATCGCGCAATTTGTCGCGCGATATCGCGCAAATGCTTGCATTGCAAAGAATGGAATCGCGGCAAAATACGCTCCAAAAAGGGTCCTGCTGTAGCGACGCACGACCCGCGACAGCAGGACCCTTTGCCCCATTGCCTTGCATTGGAAAGCGATATCGCGCGGTAAATAGCCGCGATATCGCGGTAATTACCATGCGATAAATCGCTCAATGTGAACGGGGCCTTACATGGGTATCAGCCGAAGGGGACAGGGGAAAAGGCGAAGGCGGCGGTGTGTGTGTGGGGGGGCGGCCTAAAGCTGTGTAAGGAGTCCCAAAATTTCTGATTTTTGACCTGCAAGCAACACTCCATCATCTACAACTCCAAATTCCTAATCATTGTTACTCAATAGATACAAGTTACCATACAAGTCTGCATTCATTGTATCATCTTCAAATCCAAATTCAGATCCAGTGCTGTCCTTACTGATATTTACTATACATGGCTGACTATATTATGGTGCTCGCCATCTCCTCTATAGATCTGTACCATCCCACTATGTACACTCCATCATCTACAAATCCAAATTCAGATCCCAGGCTGTCATCATTATTGATATAATGTGCTCTTTCAGCCACTTCCTGTCTACATGCACTTGCACTAATGTTGGCTGCATGTCATTATTCTGGACCGTTTCCTGATGGTGACAGTAGTGGACTGTGCCTGCGTTAGACGTGTGCGATTCCTTTCATTCCGAATCAAAATTTGTACAAAATTTCCGAAATTCAGACATTTCGATAAATTTCTGAATCCCAATGCATCTGAATTTTCGTTACGGCAACATGGGAGCCATATACAGTATACAGTATATACATATAATACCAAAGCTGACCTCGAACCGAATGGCATTCGTGATCCAAGTTTCTGAATTGCATTGGGGAGCTCCCGAATGCCATTCTGGTCTGAGAGCCTCAGCTTTAAATTATATGTATATACTGTATACGGCTCCCAGACTCGAATGGCATTAGGGAGCTCCCCGATGTAATTCAGAAATTCCGATCCTGAATGCCATTCGGGTCTGGGAGCCTCAGCTTTAGTAATACTGTATATATATATGGCTCCCAGACCCGAATGGCATTCAGGATCGGAATTTCTGAATTACATCGGGGAGCTCCCTAATGCCATTCGAGTCTGGGAGCCGTATACAGTATATACATATAATACTAAATCCAAGGCTCCCAGACCCGAATGGCATTTTCGGGAGCTCCCCAATGCAATTCAGAAATTCCGATCACAAATTCCATTCGGGTCTAGGAGCCTCGGCTTTAGTATTATTATCTGTATATGTGTTTCCGTGGTATTCTTAACGAATATCCGTAAACTCATCTGAAACTAACAAAAATTGTGAGGATGCCCTGAGTAGGCAGGAGGTACCGAGCCTGTGCAGAGAGCAGAGCCAGACCCAGCAGGCTCCACCCACTACAGGAAACGACAGGAGGAGGCAGAGACAAGACCAGTCACCCTGCAGAAGGAGAGAGAGAGCAGCAGTGAGCGGTCTTTATTACAAGAGGGGGCGGAGACAAGACCAGTCACCCTGCACAAGGAGAGAGAGCAACAGGGAACAGTCTTCATTACAAGAGGGGGCGGAGACACGACCAGTCACCCTGCACAAGGAGAGAGAGCAACAGTGACCAGTCTTCATTACAAGAGGGGGTGGAGACAAGACCAGTCACCCTGCACAAGGAGAGAACAGCAGTGACTGGTCTTTATTACAAGAGGAGGCAGAGACAAGACCAGTCACCCAACACAAGGAAAGAGATCAGCAGTGACCGGTCTTTATTACAGAAGGGGGCGGAGTCAAGACAAGTCACCCTGCACAAGGAGAGAGATCAGCAGTGACCAGTCTTCATTACAAGAGGGGGCGGAGACAAAACCGGTCACCCTGCAGGAGGAGAGAACAGCAGTGACTGGTCATTATTACAAGAGGGGGCGGAGACAAGACCAGTCACCCTGCACAAGGAGAGAACAGCAATCACTGGTGATTATTACAAGAGGGGGCGGAGACAAGACCAGTCGCCCTGTTCAAGGAAAGAGATCAGCAGTGAGTGGTCTTTATTACAGGAAGTGTCACACTGGATTACTGCACAGATATGGAAGAAATACACAAAGATCACCAAGATTCAGGAACACACATGACTTATATGAGGACAATATTTGCTGTTCCCGGAGTTCAGCTTTAAGTCATCATATCATCTTCTGAGTAGCTTGAAGAAAGCAAATTGTTCAGATGTTTGAAGAGATAGAAATGGAACGTATAACACAGTAACCAAGTCATGAAAACTCATTGAAAGTATTTATAAATGCAGCTAGGCTGCCTGAACGTATCGTGATCTCAGCCTTGTGTAACCCCTCACTTAGGCTGGGAGAGGGAAGGGCAGTATTGGAGCCTATCAGGTTTTCAGCATGCACACACTTTGACAAGAAACATGCTGATTGGAAGAGAGAGCAGAGTGATGCTCCTTCAATGTCCAGTCATTGGCTGGGGGTGGGGCGGTGACCAGGCTGTATTGTATTACTGCAGGAGGAAACAGTCAGGTCACCAATAGGTATGTGCTCCAGTTTGGACCAAACACAGTCTGAACCCGAGCTGCACTGAACAAGGAAGTGCCATGGGCCTCCTGCCCATCAGCTACGGGCTGGGCATTCCACACCCCGCAGCTGAACATAAAAAAGGGGCGGGATGC